GTTTCCTTTTGAATTTGCCTTTTTTGAAACGGCCGCCCGGCTCACGAGGCCGGTCACGAAGGCTTCCCTGGAATGGAACGCAGTACACTACGTTGGTGAATGGCGAGGCGGCTTGACTTCAAGAGCGTATTTCACACCCAAGCTAACTCAATGTGCTTCACACAAAGGAAGGAGACAACATTGTGAACGCATTTCCACTCGAGCCTCCTTACAACGTACCTCGAGGGACGTGCTGAATCTGTGCATTATAACGGTAGATCGTTGTAACCATTTCCGATAAAATGGCCGCCAACTAAAATATATATAATACGGTCTGAACATTTATAGATGTAAAGACAAGAACATCTATAATGCAGTCAGCAAAAGAAAAGCGCCTCGTGTTCCAGTTCAGCATGTGGCGCCGGGATGAGCTGGAAGAGGTGGCTGGGGAAAGGGAAGTCTCGGTTTCCCTGATAAAGCTGTTGCCCCCGCTACCCGACCCCAGATAAACGCTTGAGAATGGATAGATTTTAAAGCATTTACTCCCTCTTGGGTGTGACTTCACTTTTGGTAGCAGCTCATTCCACTTACTTGCAGCACAACAGGGAAGTGCTGCTTCACCAAGTTTGCTTTGAATTCCACCAGAGCCCTTCTGGGTTTATATCCAATGAGCATTTCTTTCATGTATTCAGGACCCAAATCATTCAGGGATTTATAGACTGGTCACAGAATTTTAAAAACTTATTTGACAGCTGACTGGGAGCCAATGCAAAGCCTTGAAGGACCGACTGAGTTGGGTGTGTAAGAACTTGACCGAACTCCACAGAGCCCTGACCTCAACCCCAGCAAACACAACCGGTGAACCAACGGGAAGGAACTACGATATCCGGAAAAGAAAGTAGCGCAACACGGTCCCTTGAAATGTGGCAGCAAGATCGTTGAGAGTGACGACGGACTGAGTGCTTGAATGCTTTGGTGCTGATTCAATGCAAAGGAGACCGTTCACCTCCGAGACAGGTGCAGCTGTGTCGTGGACGGACAGGATGTGGCTGATGTTGTGCTGTGTCAGCAGATCTTTGTCACGGCATTGGTAGATGCAAAAAAAGAAAAGAAAAAAAAAACTCCCAGAAAATCAGAAAACGCCTCCCATTTGCTGAGCAACCAGTGTGTACTGGGGCCTAAGCTCACAATAGCTTTTTCTGCCCAACAACACACACACACACACACACACACACACACACACACACACACACACACGCACACACTCCCCACATGTCTCCAGAGCAAACGGCCGTCAATTTTTGGTCTTGTTTGGAACCGAAAGAAAAACCGGAAAACCAAGATTTCTAAAAGAGTCTCCGAGATTGGCCTCAAGCAAGAAGCCGTGGATGTTTTAATCAAATATTATTCTTCAAAAGGAAGCTGAGCTCGTTCAAGCTTGCACAGATGTGCCTTCTTCTCAGGCTTGGAAGGATGTTGCAAGGGGCCACCTCAACCCTTCGGCGCTCTCTCAGCCTCACCTGCCACCCAAACACATTGAAAGCAGCAGACGGTGTATTTCATGGATGCTCCCGACCTTTGTCTTCCATCTGCCCTTTTTTTTTTCTCAACAAGGATAAACACACACACACACACACACACACACACACACACACACACACACACACACACACGAAGTTTCAGGAAAAAGTTGACTGACATATTCAGTAAATTTAAAGAGGCGCCACCGTGTGGCGTGATACCATACTGCAGTAATGGACTGTTACAGTGCCAATGCGCGTGCGTCTGCGAAACGCGCCATTTTTTTTTTTTTTGGATCACCTTAGCGCCATTTTTATCACGATAAAATGATCCATGTTGTGGTCCACAACGGTGGAATTTAAATCTGGAAGGTCAGAGCAACCTGTGAGGAATTGCTCCTGGCTGCCGTTGATGTAGCCTGCGCTGTTTTTCTTTCACTTCACGTGCAACAATATGAGCTCATCTGGTGCCATTTCATTTCCAGTAAACGCTGCGACATCTTCCCCGGAGATATTTTTAACTCGGCGCAATGGCTGTGTTGCGTTGCGTGGCGTCGCGTCCCTGAGTGCGGTTCAGGGGGTGGCACGGCTCAGCCACGCTGACGGGTAGTGGAGGCGTTTCCAAAAAAACAGCCTCTGACTTGAGCTGCGCAATTCCCCGCCGCCGACGGGGGCAAAATTGTTCAATGAAATGGCGTCGATTCAACTGCTTTTTTTCAGTATGCTGATTAAAAAAGAAAACTTTTACAGCAGGAATAAACGCAACCTAGTTTAAAACCCTAATTTGAAACTTGAACCCGAAATTGAAACCCTGCACTGACACCCTAACCCTAGTTTGAAATGCTACTATGAAACCCTGAGCATAATTCAAAACCCCGATTTAAAACCCCAACACGAGTTTGAAACCTCAATGAGAAACCATAAACCGAGTTTAGAATCCTACATTAAACCCATAACCCTAGTAGAACCCGAACCCAAGTTTAAATCCCTATTCCAAAAACCTAACCCTGGTTTACGACCCTACTTTGAAACCCTGCATTGACACCCTAATCCGAGTTTGAAACCTTCAACTAAATTCAAAACCCTGCTTGGAAGCCCCAATCCTAATATAACCCCGACTTTGAAACCCTAACCCAAGTTCAAAACCCTACTGTGAAACCCTAAGCCTAGTTTAAAACCCTAATAAGAAACCCTAACCCGAGTTTAAAACCCTATTCCAAAACCCAAACCCTGGTTTAAAACGCTATTTTGAAACCCTAAACATGGTTTGAAACCACACTTTGAAACCTTAACCCTAGTTTGCAAATCCTACTTTGAAATCCTAATCAGAGTTTCAAATCCTTCTTGCAAACCTTGACCATAGTTTAAAATCCAACTTTCAACCCTAACGTTAATATAAAACCCCATGTTGAACCTTAATCATAGTTGAAAATTCAATGTTGAAACCCTAACCCGAGTTTAAAAATGATACTCTAAAACCCTAAACCTAGTTTAAAACTCCAGTATTTAATCCTATTTTGAAACCCGAACCCGAGTTTAAACACCAACTTTGAAATCCTAACAATAGTTTGCAACCTCACTTTGAAACTACTTTCACTTTAAATTGAAGGAGTCCAGCCGGTTTAGTTATTTGAACTGGAGGGGGCGGGGGGGGGTCCTTTGGCGTACTATGACTTTAAATGCCAAACGAGTCAGAGGAAGACCCGCTGGGACTTTGTTCGATCTTGGTTCCATCAGACCTCGAAACGGCGGACGTCCAGGAGCACGAATGACGACGTTTTTGCGTGGGAAGCGTCTGTTCAGCCTGAGGAGAACTTCCGCTGCGATGCAGTCGTACCGTTGGTAAAAAAAAAACAAACAAACAAACAAACAAAAAAAAAACACCGTCGTGGAGATTGACTCACTGCAAAATGTCGCTCTGCTTTTGCCTACCGCAGCGATGCGTGAATCGGGTCGTTAGAAGGCGGAGGAAACGCCCCTCGCCGCACGTCAGGACGAGAACGAGGAAGTGTTTTGTGCGTGACTGATTTCATGGCCACTAGATGGCGACGTGTCTCCATATGAAGGAAAACAAATTATTGCTCAAACGCCCCAAAACCTAAATGACTTTCACCATGACGCAACTATGGTGCAGGAGTTTCTCTATTTCATCTTGAATCCGTTTTTTTCCATCGTCATATTTGTTTCCCTTAGTTCAACTCGTAACATTTGCTCTTTGGGATGTACATGCACCCCGGTCACCAAACATTTTCGATGCGCCTCCGGTAAAATGATCAACAACGCAATATTGTGAGCTATACAAGGTCACGTTTTAATTGGGACTGAAAAATATCGTTGGACGGTTGCTTTTAGACACTCTTAAATAGACTGCATTACTGCGCGTGTGTATTTCTTCATTGGATTATTTCTGTTTTATTTTTCCTGCAGCTCCTCACAGACGAGCGGCAAGCAACGTGTGAATGGAGTCGATCTTTACTATGAGAGGAACGGCGCTGGCGAACACGCCGTGCTGCTGCTTCCTGGTGCTTTAGGTACACACCACTAGACTATCATGCACAACACTGCGTGTTTCAGGCGGAGCCAAAAAAGTTCAACATTTTTGGACGCCGGATAGAAAAATAGTTGACACCCGCCCGCCAGATTTTGTGAGCTCCAAGATGAGACCCACGTGAATCAGATCAAAACTTTTCTCACCATCATTTGACTTGTACGGAAGCGATTATTCTCGAAAATTGTCATATCTTGCCGTATTTGAGGAATTACAGCATTTTTTTTTTTTACAGTGTTAGTAGATCGTAGTTCGTCATGTAACGTGTTCTCTCGTTTCTCTGTCGGTCAACTTCGGCAATCTTGTTCTGTCGGGTTGCGTTTCCCGTCATGCAACAAATAGCTCTTCATCGCAATACCAACCCAGCCGCGAAAAAAGCGCAGGTTAAAAACAAAACAAGCAAACAAACTTCTCCAAATGCCAATGTGTTCTTTTACAACAGGAAATACAAAGACGGATTTCCAACCTCAGCTCAAGGCTTTGAACGCGGATCTTTTTACAGTCGTGGGCTGGGATCCGCGAGGTTATGGCCAATCGCGGCCTCCGCACAGAGACTTTCCCCTTGACTTCTTCGAAAGGGATGCGAGGGATGCAGTGGATCTTATGCGGGTAAGGTCGCAGATGTGGGAGCCAGTCCTAACGTCTCAAAAGTCTTTCAGCTTTCAAAATGTTCCAAAATACATTTGCTAGTTCCCTTCCGACTGACATCGTGAGAGCAAGGCAACGGCCACTGGAACGCGTGATCCACAGTCATGAAAAATGGAACAGCTGGAATTCAAAAGTTTAGAGCAGGCGTGTCAAACTCATATTTGTCACGGGCCACATTGTCGTTGGAGGGCCGGTATGACCATGAACCCAAATTAATGTCAAATCGTCTCATATTACATATAGGCAACATAACAAATTGATTGCTCAATGTGCTAATGGATGGTTCGCTTCCTAGTCTTTTTTTTTGGGGGGGGTGGGGGGCAGCATAATCTAAAACTCGAAATATCCTGACATCTGCATGTAAGGGTTTGCACAACGTGGAGCGGTGCTTCCCAACCCAAATGTACACACCCAAAAATTTGGGAGGGGGCAAAATAATCAACGTGCGGCCCGCCGCCAGTTGCCAGTCCTCGCTGGTCTATTTCCTCCCACAGCGGGTCACTAGCTCATCTGCGTCACATCTCTTGATTTTAGACCTTGGGCTTTGTCAAGTTTTCGCTCCTGGGCTGGAGTGACGGTGGGATCACAGCTCTGATTGCTGCCGCCAGGAACCCCGAGTTCATCGACAAGATGGTCGTGTGGGGAGCCAACGCGTTTGTATCGCCGCAAGACCTTGACATTTACAACGGTAATCGCACGCCGCGCCGCACTCTTGAAAAAATAAAGATGTCACGGGCCGATGTGGTGACTTTGCCTTCCCCAAGCGGTCCGCGACGTGTCCAAATGGAGCGCGGGGATGAGGGCGCCGATGGAGGCGGTGTACGGAGCGCGGCTCTTCGCTCAAACGTGGGAAGCCTGGGTGGATGGCATCGCCCAGTTTGTCCACAGACCCGAAGGTGACCATATTTATAAGTATGTGGATTTTGGAAGCTAAGGGCCATAAATGTACTCGGTTTTGTTTGGTGAGTTCATTACAATTTTTTTGAGAAATGCCGTTTTGAATGTGAATGTTCCTCCAAAAAAATGTTTTTTGAATGTCCTCTCTCTAGGAAACATCTGCATTGACCTCCTGCCTCTGATCCGATGTCCCACTCTGATCATTCATGGAGAGAAAGATCCAGTGGTGCCCAGCTGTCACCCTCACTTCCTCCACAAACATATCGCAGGCTCGCGGTGAGAGCGTGTGACTGCGTTTGAAAGTGCCCTTCGGTTGTACGTGCGGCGTGATTCTCTTTCTTGCCTTTGCCAATGTAGATTACATCTGATGCCGGAAGGAAAACACAATCTCCATCTGAGGTTTCCCGAAGAATTCAACAGAGTAGTGGAAGACTTTCTGGGAGCGGAACCAAAGGAACGCTGATCAACTCCCAACGTATAGATGGCACACAAATTACATCTTGATCAAAATGGAAAAAAAAAAAAGAATTGTGATTTGTAATTTCTCTCAGGTTTTTTGGGGGGGGAAACCAATACATTTACAAATTCAAATTGAAGAAACCCGACGTTGGATGCAGGAATGTAGTCCAGATGAAACAGCTCCTGGCGAGTTTCATAATTTCTTTATTTTTTGGATAGCTGATGGGGAGTGACTTGCAAATTGTCAAGAAAAGACAAGCGAAGCTCACACAATATTCTTTCAACAACCGCCCGGTAAGATGCACGTGCTCGATGGGAGAGTTCATTCTCAAAAGTACAAAGACGTCAATCGTCTTCAATCTTACAAGTCTTCAACCTTTTCAGGGAAGTGGATTCATCATTTTTCGAATCCGCTTCTCCTCAGGAGGGTCGCGGGCGTGATGGCGCCGCTCGCAAATCGTCTTTGGGTAGTAGGCGGGAGTGGGGGGGGGGGCGGACACCCTGAATGGGCTGCCAGCACATCGCAGGGCACACATAGACAAGCAACCATTCGCGCTCACAATCACACCTCGGGACAATTTCGAGTGGTCTGTGAACCTGCCGTGCACGTTACTGGAATGTGGGAGGAAACCAGCGCAGGCATGGGGGGGGGGGGGGGGTACTTCCCCTCCACAGAGGAAGACCCCAGCCGGAATTGAAGCCTGTACCTCGACGTGCTAACCAGCCGATGACCATGCCGCCGCTGATTCATTGCTTCCATCCATGCATTTTTGAATCCACTTCTATCGGTTGCCTCCATATTTGGCGGTCCAGTCTACCCGGCCGTGAACCGGCGGGATGTTTGTGTTTCTGGAGAAGGTGTTCGTTCCGGAGAAACTGGCACTGGGACAGGGACAAGGGATTGGAGGAGCGCGGAAGTCATCGTGGTCGAGCTGGTTATCTGAATCGCCGCAAAGTTACACGAGTCAGAATGACACACTTTCAATTTCTTTCCTTGTTGCTTGCTTTTACTGTACCTTTGGTGGAGAAGATGGTGCTCTTGGACAGTTTGACTTTGGAGTCAATCCTGAGATCAGCAGGGGTTGACAGGTCAACTAAACATCCAAGGATTTAAAAAAAAAAAAAAATTGGTTTCGATAATCAACACTTCTTTGGGACCATTCAATCTTTGAAATCTCCAAGCGACATGATGTCGATTTAGAATGCAAACCCCCCCCCCCCAAAACAACAACAACAACGTCACATACCAGCGGAGGGGCCTCCAATCTGCGCCAGTTGACTCATCTGCTTCGTGTCTTTGGCTTCGGACTTCTCGAGAGGTGAAATATTTGTCTTGGACATGAAGGAGTCTGTTGAAGACAAGCGATGCAAAAATTCAATGTCTGTAAAAAACCCCTCCCTGCCCACCAAATAAATAAATAAAAGGCATGTGGTCGTTGCCGTTGATGACCTCCTGCCAGACCTGACCTTTAAGAACGGGGAGCTCCAGTTCCTGTCTTTGAGCTAAGCCCAAGATGTCCAACAAGCTTTTGCAGACTGCCCGATTCCCTGTTGAAGATCTTCTTTTTGGATCTATACCTTGAAAGCACAAAAAGCTCAGGGTCAACTCACCGGAGCTGCTCTGCAAGGCTGGGCACTCAAAAATCAAGGTCCACGAATCCATTTTTTTCCCCAAAAGGGTCTAAGGCAGGGGGTGTCCAAACTTTGTCATTTGAGGGCCACCTTCATGAAATTTAATTCAGTACCAGTCAATTCTAAACCAAGTCTGAAAAGACATATAAAAACGTCTTTGGGAGTGCATGAGCTAAACATGCTGAAATCAGTCAAGCAAACTGATATTTTGTCAACATTTTCTAGTTACTTTGGTAGCAGCTCTCTGTTAAAGGTGATAAGGTGCCCGTCAGACTCGATGGCGCATTCTCACCCGGTAGGTATCGGGACTGCCGTAGGTAGTGTTGCTTGGCAGACAAGATTGTGGAGTCACTTGTGTCCGGCCCGTTGCTGCTTGCGGGCTTTCCTGGTATCGAGGTCTTTGGCACTGGAACACTATTGACAGAAGGCTTGATTTTGCTTTCGGAACTGATGAGAAAGACTTGCTGCAAGACTTGTGCAGCAATGGAATGAGCTGACTCCCCGTGAGACGCTCATGCGTTTCGATATCGCGTTAATTCCAGACAGTTCCCGTTTCCCGGGTTTGAGTCATTGCTTGTCAACCTTCTCAGTTCAGCTCGATGATCACCCTTGTGGCCCGTGAATCCCTTTTACTTTTTACCTCACGGAGGCTCCCTGAAGCCTTGAGTGAATAACAAAAACCCAAGTACATCTAGGTGTGATCGTTATCTCAAGGTTAATTGCGACTCGGATGTTCGTGCGCCAGTGAGCCGCGTTGGCCCGCTAGCGTTGGCGCGCTAGCGTTGCTAGCGTTGGCGCGCTAGCGGTTGGCACTCATGAATATGAGAACAGAGGCTTCGCTAGTTTGTTATTGTATGTTACGATGGGCGCCAGTTAGCCGCGTTGGCCCGCTAGCGGGGTGGCCTGCTAGCGGTTGGCGCTCATGAATATGAGAACACAAGAGGCTTCGCTAGTTTGTTATTGTATGTTACGATGTCTTTATGCTGTGACGACCGTCGCTCCTTGCCGCGTTTCCGACGACGAAGTGGAATTTTTATTGTTTACGTATCGACTCTCGTGTCATTGAGTGTAGTTCATCCGAGCGGCCCCTAGATGGTGCCATTACAATGTCATTTCTATACGACTCTTTGGTTAGGTTCGGGTAGATTCTGAACGTTATTTCTTGTCACATGGGAAGTTAGAGCTAATTATTTTTACTTATTCATCATCCTCACCCCCTGATATTTGTGCATCAGTGTATTCACTTGCAAGGCATATCCAGTCGAAGATACCGAATCTCACTTTGGGAGGCCGGTCTCTTCCTGCCTGAGGTCTGACCGGCACGCCGTCTTGCTTACAGTTCGCCCCTTCAACCGATCATCCCTATCGCCTTTCCTACAGGTTGCGACTGAGCGCTTACCAAGCGCCGGAGACGTCAAGGGCTTCATCACCCAAAGAGTTGATGGTGGGTTTTTTGGAGATGGAAACTCCGACATCCGCCTCCTCAGCGGCATCCCAGCTGTCGACTGATTTGATTGCCGTTTGACCCCATCGCCTTCGTCCGGCCCTCGCTCTGGTCACGGCATTCCCTGGCCCCGTGCTCGCTGGCTTGGTGGGCTTTTATTGAACAGGAAGGGAGAAAATAGGAGCGCGGGATTTGATTTCGCCTCGGGTGATGCGGACGCGAGTGATACATACAGCTATCGGCTGGCGGTTTTTAACAAGGCTGAGAGGTTCCTGCTGTTCCTCTGACGGGAGCAAGTTAGGACAAGCTTGCTGTTGCGTGTCGGCGGTCTGCGGGGACGGTTGGATGGGCTGAAGGGGCTGCTGGAGCGCTTGGCTGCTGCTCTGTGACTCCGCTTGGGTCTTTTTGGGCTCCTGAGACAACTTGCTTGCCTTCCACACCGCTTTTTCTTCCGCGACTCCTTTGGCATCCTGGAACTGAAACTTGTGCTGCTTGGAGTACTTCAGCGGGACGCCAAGCGACTGACCCACATAAAAGTAGGGATACCGCAGCGCCTGGATAAAGTGCAAAAAGCAAAGACCACGTTGAGGAAAACATGTTGTTTTCCCCCGTTTGGCATTCCAGCACACGATCTTAAAACAGCACGCCGGTGCACCTGAGCGGCATTTGGCCTTTTCTTGGGATCCCACTGCAGCATGTCTTTCATCAGTGTGATGGCTTCATCGCTGGCATTGGGAATCAGAGAGCTGAGGCAGGTAGGGACGCATTTCGGAAAGCGGAAGTTCATCGAGCTGGCTAAATTATGGCCCTCGGGCCAATCTGCCTGATATGTTAGAGGAGACATGAAGACCCAAAGAAAAACAAATGTTTATGTTGAACAGCGGGCCAGGGAAATACTTCTTGTATGCCGGCTCACCTTCTTCAAGGTTCCCAGAACTTGACAGATCTTGAAGATCTCGTCCACCTCGCTGTTGCCAGGAAACAAGGGGCGCAGTGTGTACAGCTCCGCCATGATGCAGCCCACTGCCCAGATGTCGATGGGTGAGCTGTACGAGGTGAACTTGAGCAGGATTTCGGGAGCTCGGTACCTGTTCAACCAACAAGTCGTACTCACAACTTGTTTTACTGTTTGGCTCTCAATAAAGCAGCATTTCATTTGGCATGCAGGAATGTATGTGTGTGTGTGTGTGTGTGTGTGTGTGTGTGTGTGTGTGTGTGTGTGTGTGTGTGTGTGTGTGTGTGTGTGTGTGTGTGTGTGTCACCATCTGGTGGACACGTAATCAGTGTATGGCGGTTGAGAGCGGATTTCTCTGGCGAGCCCAAAATCTGCTATCTTAACCAATTCCGGACCAATGCAGAGCAAGTTCTCCGGTTTCATGTCACGGTGGAAATACCCTGGAAACAAACGTGTCATTGGAAACTCTTCCATACATTTTTTTTGGGAAACATATACAGAACAGTGGAACAGTGTATACTGTCATTTACAATTACAGGCAGGCTTTTTGAAACTTTTTTGCAGTCTTAATTTCACTTAATATGCCATGTTTTGGGCATGTTGAAGTACACAAGGTGACAGATTCAAGATGGCGCAGAGGAGAGAGGAGCGTCTGCGCGGAGCACGGGATGCGTATTCGGAATTGAGAGTCGGAGCTTGGAATTGAAGCGGATTCTAAAATTGCTGACATGTTGAGACATCATTCGTGTTTCAAGCATGACTTTCTTACCGTGTTTGTGCATAAAAGCTAAGCCGGACAACATTTGAAACATGATCTTCCTGATCTCGTTTTCGGAGAACATTGCATAGTTCCTGGAAAAAAAAAATGAATGAGCAAAACGTTGACGTGATACCAGGTCATGTTGCTTTAAGATGAAAATGATACAAAGCCACGAGAAACTGGACCGGAGCCGTGCTTACCTCTCATTCATGAGCTGGTACAGGTTTTTTCTCATGTACTCGAAGACAAATTGACGTGATGCCAGGTAATTTTGCTTTAAGATGAAAATGACACAAAGCCACAAGAAACTGGACCGGAGCCGTGTTTACCTCTCATTCATGAGCTGGTACAGGTTTTTTCTCATGTACTCGAAGACAAAGAAGAGATGGTCATTTTCCCTTATCACCTCTTTCAGTTTTATTACATTGGGGTGGTTTAGTTTCTTCAGCGACTGCACAGACAAAACAATAGTCATCGGTAACAAAAAACAAACAAACAAAAAAAGCAAATATGGAGGGGCCCGCCTTCAAATTTTTTAACTCGCCTTTGTGGCCCAAGTCAAATGTCTTTTTTTTGTCATCTCGCGGACAGCTGAAAAATAGATGGTGGGCCGCAATTGTCCCCCAACCCTGACCCCGAATGTCCAGTGACAGAGTATTCAAAATGGATCAAATTCTCACCTTCAACTCCCTCAGATTCATGCACTCCTCCCAAGAATAAAACTTCCTTTTCATCCTGAAAATGACATTTGTTTTTTCAGGATTATTGTTATCAACGCAGCATTGCACACACAACTAAAAATGTACTTCCGATGGATCGCCAACACATCGAATGGGTTTCCCTGGGTTGTGAATGCAACATGTTTGTTGTCTGGGCAAAATAAGATGGGCTCCTTTTAGGCGTCGTACAGGTGAGCCGGTCTTCGTCCTGTCCCATTTCCTGCTGGCCCAGCGCACTTGCATTGCGTCATCATCACCAATAAATGCGATCGGCTGTTGGCAAACGCTAACCTGTGTTTCCAACAAAACTCACAACAGCTCGGCTTACCTTCACTGGCTAATTGCAAATGCAAACAATCAAATGAAAAGTTGCCAAAAGTGATCCTGAGCTGACACTTGACGCCATTCAGTTTAAGAATGTAAGCCTGGGGAGGAGCCAACATGTTTCACTCTGCCCCCTGTGCCCCCATCTTAAAACTATACTGTCTGACCTTTTAAACATCTTCCAAAGGTCAAATAGCTGCGCTCACCTCTTAATGGCAACCAGCTCGCCAGTCTCATTGCTCTTGCCCAGGATGACGCTCCCATAGGTGCCATCCCCCAGCTGTTTGAGCATAGTGTAGCGGTTCATTTTCTACGGATGCCCCCCTCTGGGCCCCCCTCCTTAAAGAAGAACTTTTGCAGTGCAACTCACGCTCACTGTCCTGCAAGGCATGACAACACAATATTGTTTATTCAGATTGGCAATCAGCCATCTCCTCTCTTTTAAAAGACTGAAATGCAAGTTGTGCGTTTGTCCTTTACCTGCCTGCCTTCTGAGAAGATTCGACTGTTTGGATGCTGTTTGTTGAGAATTTCTCTCAGCTAAACAAGAGATAAGCCTTTGACCGCAAAAAACAATCCCCAGTGAGGGGAAGTGGATTAAGTTGACATGTGGTTCGCAATGTGTGCCAGGAAACAACCTCATAGGAGAAGCTTGGTGGTTCTGAGTGCGGCAAGCTCTAAAACGGGAGCAGGTTGTTGGTGGGGCATCTTAAAGGTTCTTAGATTGCACCCACTTTCAAGAAATCACATATCAACTCAAATTTGTATTAAAACGAAGCCGTTTTACTGTACCAGTACATCGATTGTCCAGTGGATGGCGATGATGCACCTCAACCGATTCCACAACCAAAAGCTGCGGCGGCGAAGCGCGGTGAAAACCAGCAAGGAATCGTTCGATTGCTTTGGGCTGCCGACGTCGTCCTAACCCGGAAGTTGTTGTTGTTGTTGTTGTTGGTGACCAGCTGGCTCGCTTCTGCTTGTTCCCACCGTCGCGCACATACACGCAACGATGAGTGAAGCACAAAACGGGGAGTTGCGGGATCCTATTTCGGTTCACAACTTTTCGGAGCGATTTATGGAGCAGACGGTTCACTTTCACGTCATGAAGCTCAGCGGCGCCTTTTTCATCTGGGTTGGCTCGAGTCCACTTCTGTCCAACTTGGCGGTTTCAATGAGCAGCAAATACGTGAGTCCAAAGCGGATCGTCAACACGTGCCAGTGTTGACTTGGCATCACTTGCTTCTCTAGGGGAAGTAAAACCTCGTAAGAAAGTGTCGTCACACGAAATGTGTTTTCCTCTTTGAATGTAATGCAAGTGATCACGAAGGTGCCAACGATGAAGTGATCTGATCTCATGTCTTCCTTTGTGACCACACAAAGCAGCAGCCCCCCCCACCTTTTTGGATTGCTCCCTTGTTCACTTCGTTGCCTACTCAAACGAAATGAATAAGTTAAGACCTAAACTTTCTGCTCAACACCACTATGGGCCAAATCTTAACCCTCTATTAAATTCTACATCTTGCATGAGAATTTTTAATGTTTTTATTTGGTGGTGGGGGGGGGCGGTCTGCCAGGCGAAAATGAAACGTGGAGTGAAAACATTTTGACATGAAATTTGTTTCACCACAGTTGAACCCCATTTTGTCTTTTGCGCAGGACTCCATGCCATTATCTACGTTAGTGATGGGGGACCCTTCAGATACTGCTCCAAATTCTTTGGCACAGAGATTAGGTATTAACTGGGTTCTTCTTTTATTTCATACAAAGGTGTGATAGTTGTTCGCGCATTATTCCGAAAATGTTTGGTTTCACACTGAAATTAAATCTAAATGACAGTATGCTACACGATTGTGTCAAACTAAACAATAAATAGTTTGGGTCTGAATCCCGGACCACAATTGATGATCTTAGGTGATGATCTTTTTCAGCTGAAGTCACATAGGAAGATGGACCAAAATGAGTTTCCACTTTGATGTTTACACAATGCGAACTCACTCAAATGTGTAAAACAGAATGTGGAGAAAAAAAAATGAACAGTGTCTTTAACGTACTAATTGTGGGTTTCTGTCTCGTTTTGCAGCAAAGAAGACCAAAAAGCAAGTCTTTGTAAGTTACAGTCTTCCAATGACTGACTCCAGCCTCTCTCTGCTCGTGGAAAACCGAATCAAAAAGGAGCTTGAGCTTCACCCGGGGAAGTTTTGATTTTTCACTGAGCTTCTTTTGTATGCGACTGTGGATGTCCAAGGACCATAACCGCAGGTTGTTCTCCCATCTCATGTGTTGCACTGACATCCACCACACACGATGACGTCCAGTGTTCTTTTATTGACACAATAAATTAGGTGATTTTATTATCAAAACATGTAAGCCTATGGCTTTTGGTAGAAATGCATCATTAAAAAATAAGACTTAAAAAACAGTTTTGGTGGCTGGGTTGTGTGTTGTTTTTCTTTTTTGCCCCTTTCCAAAATACAATACATGCTCAAGAAGTACAAGGAAGATGTTGGATCCTACAATTCTGTCTGTAGTAGTGAGACAAAATATTTAATGTCACTATATAAGGTGCTTCGACTATAATAACTGTCAGGTGAATAAGTGTATCACACATAATTCTTGAATGGAACATGAACACTAAGTATTCTAACAACAGCCAACCCTGTTTTAGGCAAACTGCTCTATTCTAATCATCACTTGCCTTGATTTTTGTCATTGTGCTTTTTTGGCTAGTTTTATCATAGGAGCAGGACTACATTGTTACCACGGTACAGGGGACACAGCGTGAGACATGGAACAGGACATTTGCAAGTGAAATTGGGCAGCATGACAAAATATCGAAAACAACGGATAAAGCCATTTCAAGTGTTGAGACGCATCATAAGACTTAATCGAAGAAAACTTCAAAGTCCATTCAACGCTCACGTCTTTTTAGCATTAGCTGCAGTCTCTAATGGGTGCACACGCATACACGGTGTGCCAAGGTCTCCGGTTGCTCACGCAACCATCATACACCTTCACCAACCACTGTCATGCTTACTTTTAAAATCAGCGTCTACACTGACTTGGGTTCGGAGGATAAAGTGCCACCGTTAAGAAAAATAACATGTAGGACTTTGTGCCCGTTCATGCAAAACAGTGATCGTGTTTGAGCCGATCCCTATCTCTGCAATGTGTTGGCTGAAAAACACAGATGCTTGATTGTGTCTCTCGACTTGCAGTTAGTGATTGGAAAATGGAGCTTTATGAACCAGTTGTTATATTTTTTGGACTCCTCGAGGTGGCGCACTCTGTTCAACAGTGAGCTGATAACACATTTCTAAAATCCCTTAATTACACCAACGGTGCCACAGAGAGGAGTGAAAAAATGCAACTGGTTCATAAAGCAAATTTGAAGCTTCATCTTTCCATCACTATTTGTAGTGCAAAATAATATTTAGAAGACGGCAACCGCTGCTTCATTTGCCTTCATCAGCTCCTCTGACCTGGGAAAAAGCCTCAAAGAACAGAGTCGAGAGCAGTGCACCACAGGAGTCTTTTGAGAAATACAAGTCATGTCAAATATTTTGGCAATTCTTGAATGACAAATTTTACAACAAGTGACAAATTTACCTTGATCAACATCATCTGGTTCCTAACAAAAGTGGTTGAATCCCAAGTTCAAAATGGCCTTCCAGTCCTGCTCATTGCCGAGGAAGTCAGTGCAGTTGTGCTCAAACGCCATTGGCCATCGCGTGGTTGCCAATCACCTCGCCACCGGTCGCCAAGGAGTAGGAGGCGGGTACCGCTGCCAGAGCGGTGGCCGCTGCTACGGTAGCGCCGCCCGTGGCGGACAGGTGAAGCGGGGTATCGTGGACGCGCGAGTAGTCCCTGTCGCTCTTGGCCAGAAGAAGGTGCTGCTCGCCCGGATGGAGCAAGGTTTGGCGGGTGAATGTCTCTCCGTCGGCCAGGGTCTCGGGCAGCGGCTGGTCCCGCGGTTCGGGGAGCAGCAGCAGGCAGATGATGCACAGCAGCGTGCAGCAAGCGAAGATCACATGATGCAGGAAGTAGCCCTTCTGGTTGTGCAACTCCATGATGGGAGCCGTCAGCATGCCGAAGCCGGCGCTGGCCAAGACCAGACCCAGACCTCCACCCCTGATCCACGACAAGAGCATTTACTAAACACGTGCATCCTTCCAATTTTGTCACGAGGTTCACGGCGAGGTGACACGTCCACATTCACACCGATAGTCAAAATGGAGTCTTTGGTGAACACCCATGCCACCCAATTTGAAAATGGTCAAAGCTCAGACATTGAACAACATTTGACTTACAGTAAATAAAGAGTGCATCATTTTCAGTTATGGCGCTCACTCATGCATGTTTTGTGCGTGCAATAAAACGGAGGGGGATAAACCTGATTCCTAACGTCCTATTTACTCAAGGCACAAATGGCTTCGGTTGTCAGCAAGGGCTGGAAAATTGACTGGATGTCTATTGTTCTGTTGTTGTACTTTGCAAATGTCTAGTGAGAGTAGAGGAGGGGACTGAGGACACATCCCTGAGGCGTCCTCATGTTCGGAATGAGAGTGTTGTTTCCCATCCTGACACCATGGGGTCAGTTGGTGAGGAAGGTCGCATTCCGGTGCATCTTCGGCTGGGCCTAATATTTGAATTCTGCCATACACCTCAATGAAGGAACCAAAATATTCATATTACAACCCGCAACCACATTGACACACAGAAAAATATTTGACCCATCCCTCTAATTTCATTTCTTTATATTGTGCAATAGGTGCACTGAATTTGTACCAGTCATTCATTTCAATTTCAAATGAGTGACTCTTAAACGTAATGAACCGCGACAGTAAGAAGGGGGCCCCGCCCTCGCCGATCTCTTGATAGTGTCCTCATGATGGTCGAGCCTTACCTGATGACTGTCGGTGTGATTTCAGCGCAAAAGAAAATGCTGAGGGTGCTGACAGCATGAGACGAGAACATGCCAATGATGGAGAAGGCCACAGAGAATTTCCTCTTCAGACTGTCCCGCAGAACTGCTCCAAAAAGAACGAAAGGCAGGTAAGAAAAAAAACAATCGCCCGATGTGACCAAACGCAAAGTTGCATCGTACCTGTGTCATAGCGAAGGCTGTACTTTCCAATCACTGGATGGCATCCGTGGATGGCATGTGGGGGCAGAAAAAAAAAGGTGATATTGGTGAAAAAACAAAACAAAAAATCCAACTTGGCAGCTGTGACACAAGCAACAAGCACATCCCTTCGAACCTATTCAGGTGTAATTGATTGCATCTCCCCTGTGGAAACTCATTCCCACCGTATTACATGCGAGGATTCAGAATGAACTCATTGATCTGATGCGCGCCAGGGGTGCCCAGCGACCTTTGACCAGGGCAACAAAACTAGGAACATTTATCACACAAGTAATCATGATTAACGATGAAAGAAAAACGGGGGAGATGTCGCATCATCTTACAAAAATAACCAACTCACAATTGAGCAAGCCCAGCTGCAGGAGCGAGGCGAGGGCTGTGATGATCATGAAGGTAAGAAGGCCTCCGCGTCGGCCCATCAGCCCGACCATGGGGCACAGTGCCATGCACGTCGCCACGGCGATGCCAGCCATGGTATAGTAGTCCGTGTGGCACAAAGCGGTGGGCTGGGCTTCCGGATCCATCAGACTTCGAGCGAAGCAGTGGTGTATCCCGTAGCCCGTCAACCTGAAAAGAGGCAAACAAATCAGCAATGCGCAAGAGAAAAGTGACGTCTGTCCGTCCATCCATCCATTTTCTGAACTGCTTTATCCTCACAAGGGTCGCGGGCGTGCCGGAGCCTATCCCAGCCGCTGTCGAGGCAGGAGAGGGCGCACACCCTGAACCAGTTGCCAGCCAATCGCAGGGCACACGTAGATGGACAACCATCCGCACTCACAATCACACCCTGGGACAATTTTAGAGCCTTCCATCAACCGAGCATGCGGACAACCATCCGCGCTCACAATCACACCCCGGGACAATTTTAGAGCGTTCCATCAACCGAGCGTGCAGGTTTTGGGAATGTGAGAGGAAAGTGGCACATGCGAACTCCACACGTGGAAGCCGAAGCCCGGAATTCCAGCGGCTCCTTTGCTGCTGTGAATACTCTAATAAACTCCACACGGGGAAGCCGAAGCCCGGAATCGAACCAATGACGTGCTCACCGGCAGTAGGCCACCATTGAAACAGCTGTTGAGGTTTACCCGTACTTTGTTTTGCCACTAGGAGGAGCTGTTGGTTCTCAAATCCTAATTGAACGTTTGACATGGTGCGCAACTTCTTTTTTCTGTTTTGCTTTTCCTATTATCTTTGTGCAGTTTGTAGGACTATGTTGTTACTAATGTTTAACGTTTTATACAACATTTTATAAAAAAAAAAGTTTAACTTCCAAGAGCACAGTTAGCTCACTTCCTGTTTTCTGCTTCCTTTGTGAACACGCCAGCACAAGCTGCCACCCAAAGACTTTTAAAATCAAGTGATCAGTAATACTATTGTTCCTAATGTTTAACATTTTATAGAACATTTTATAAAAAAAAAAAGTTTAACTTCCAAGAGCACAGTTCGCTCACTTCCTGTTTTCTGCTCGTGTGATCGTTTGTGAACACCCAGCACAAGCGTGCCGCCCAAAGACTTTTAAAATCAAGTGATCAGTAATACTTTCTGTTACCTTTTCAATCACGTAATCAGTCAAACAAGCAAGTGACTTTTTCAGTGAGCTGCAATTGGCCGGCAACCCCTGGGGGGGGGGGGGGGGGCCCC